CCGCACACCCACCCCCCCCCCCCCCGACAGGACGGTTCTTCTCCCCACCGGAAACTGATAAGAACAGATACTACACTTCATCTTAGCCAACAGGCAAGTGTTACATGACCTGGAGATCCACCCGGAAAGAATTTACCTTAAAAGGAGAACTATGAGGGGGGGAGGGGGGTGCTTTTCACTCACCTCATAATCTGAGCCGACCTGTGACAATGAGACTGTCACAGGTCGGCTCAGTAGATCGGGAAGTGAGCGAACACATACCGGCGCTCGCTCACTTCTCGATCCTGTCCCTGCAGAGAGCTGTGACTGTCATTCACGGCTGCCTGCAGGGATTCTCCCCCTTCCCCCGTCCGATCCTCCAGCGCTGACTGGCGGAATGGACGGGGGAGGGGGAGTGTACAGCTGGCTGCAGAGCCAGCTGTCAGTCACGCAGCTGGGTGGATCCAGACATAATTGTCGGGATCCGCTTCAGCTGCGGCGGTCTCAGTATACCGCAAGCTACAGCTCTCTATATACTGAGCTTAGGGTGACGGGAGGACGCTAGTTTGTGTCCTCCCGTTACCCTAAGGAGAACTATGGGGAAAAGCCCTGACCCCATAGTTCTCCTTTAAATAAAAAAAAAAAACACTTTGCAGGTGAAATTCCGGGGGCCGATCACAGGTGAATCATAGTATATCCCAAAGTCCACTTCCTGTACAGGGGGGTGTGTGCTTTGTTCTATGCAGCCCCTCAAACTTTTAGAATTACACGATTTATACATACGGAACGCGGATCAAACCCCCTCTCCGCAATCCCGTCCCCACATCGTAAACAGGCGATTTATCATCCCCAGACTGCGCAGTTAATGTGTCTGTCAGCTTTTCCGGCTTCATAGACATCAATTATACTGGGAAGTGAGTGAAGACGGCAGAGTTTCCCCCGCAGGGATCCGCCGTCACATCACAGAAACGCGTACGAGCGGCCGGGGGGATTAGTTCCCGCATTTACGACGCTGCAGACTGATTATATTACAGGGGCCGCTGCGTCAGAACCGATGTGAATATGTAAATTAGCATTTGATCAACAAGGCCGCCGAAAAATTGGAGGGATAAAAAATCAAAGCGAAAATGATGGTCAGGAGGTTTTTTTCGTTAAAGCTGAACCCCGGGCAGAACTTTGTAATCGGTTTTCTAGGAGCCCGTTCCGTCCTTTACATAATATGGTCTCAGCCATTGATCGGCCTTTTACTGAATGCAGCATAGGTGATTTCCTGCTGCCATGCCCGCTTCTTCCCCACACCTCTGGTCATGTGACTTCTCCATTGTGGCTTACTTTTAATAGCGGCGGCACCTCGCTGCAGGACCCAGGTGTCTTCAATGCTCAAGTTGGTCCTGCCCACTCTCACTGACTAATTTGATTGACAGGCCAGAAGAGTCCTGGTCTGCCCCAAGCACCCTAACATCATACCTTGACAGACAGGTCAGCTGACTCCTGGTCTGTCCCACCCTCCAGGACATCATATCTTGGCTGAAAGGCCAGAAGAGCCAGAGTCTGCCCTAAGTACTGTGACATCATTCTTGACTGACAAGCCAGGAGACACCTGATCTTCCTCACCCACCATGACATCATACCTTGACCTACAGGTGAGGGGATTCCTGATCTGCCTTACCCACCATGACATCACACCTTGACTGACAGGTCAGGAGACTCCTGATTTGCCCTGACCACCATGACATCATAACTTGACTGACAGGTCAGGAGACTCTTGGTCTGTCCTGCCCACCAAGACATCACACATTGATTGATAAACCAGAAGTCCTGGTCTGCCCTCACTACTGTGATATCATAACTTGACTGACTGGCCAGGAGACTCCTGATCTGCTCCACCCAGTAGGACATCATACGTTGACTGACAGGCTAGGAGACTCCCACTCTACCCTGACCACCATGACATCACACCTTAACTGACAGGCCAGGAGACTCCTGATCTGCCCCGATCACCATGACACCACACCTTGACCCACAGGCCAGGAGACTCCTGATCTGCCCCGATCACCATGACATCACACCTTGACTGACAGGCCAGGAGACTCCTGATCTGCTCCACCCAGTAGGACATCATACGTTGACTGACAGGCTAGGAGACTCCCACTCTACCCTGACCACCATGACATCACACCTTAAGTGACAGGCCAGGAGACTCCTGATCTGCCCCGATCACCATGACACCACACCTTGACTGACAGGCCAGGAGACTCCTGATCTGCCCCGATCACCATGACATCACACCTTGACTGACGGGCCAGGAGACTCCTGATCCGCCCCACCTACCATGACATCACACCTTGACTGACAGGCCAGGAGACTCCTGATCTGCCCCGATCACCATGACATCACACCTTGACTGACAGGCCAGGAGACTCCTGATCTGCCCCACCTACCATGACATCGCACCTTGACTGACAGGCCAGGAGACTCCTGATCTGCCCCGATCACCATGACATTACACCTTGACTGACAGGCCAGGAGACTCCTGATCTGCCCCACCTACCATGACATCGCACCTTGACTGACAAGCCAGGAGACTCCTGATCTGCCCCACCTACCATGCCACCTTGACTGACAGGTCAGGACAGGACTGTG